AAGAGATAGAGAGAGCGGTATTTAAGGGGACAGTCCATGAGCAACCTTAACTCAGCAACAGCCGACAGCTACCCTATACATGACGACAGCTACCCTATACATGACTGCACCTAGTGCAAGGGGAGTTAACACTTTCCTTCTAATTTTTAATAACACATCAAGCCTGTTGATGGGCATCTTAGAGACCAATCTGGAGGCCTGGAAGCATAGGATGGTTCCATTTTCAGCAATGAATTACATACCCAAATACGCGGCTGTTTTCACAGTTTGTACTGTGCCTGTCCGCGATGATGAGAAAGATGATTATCCTGTCACTTAGGGAAAAAAAGAGACAAATAGGCTTAAAACAGAACATATAAAAAGACCCACTCATTTGCCAAGGCTCTGAAGATGCCACTGGGAAAATAATTCTCTTCTGTATAAACACCTGGATCCACTTTATTTGTCTTAGATAAACACGGATTAAACACCGACCTTTGACCCATATAGAGAGAGTGGGGGTAATGGATGATGGGCTGGGTGGTAGAAAGATATAGCAGTGTTGCCCAGTGGTTATGTAGGTGGACTTTGGTGCTTAAATGATTGGATTAAAATTTCTTTCAGCTATTTTCTAGACTCATGACCTTAAGCAAGTTATGTAACCTTTTCCAGGCTTGGATTCTTTATTTGCAAGTGGGAATAACAATAACTGTTACTTTTCAAGGTGGTTAATATGAGAGACTTCTCAGGGGCCACTAGCCAATAACATGGGTCCTAGGACATCGTGGAGAAAGCCTCGATGGCAGAAGTAGCCCTGCAAGTACAGGTTGTCTGCCTCTCCACGATGTGTAAGACCAACAGATTTCAGAGCTTCTTAATTTTTATATTCGTGTAGATTCAACTTATGGAGCATCCTAGGGAAGAAAGCCCAGATCTTAGTGTTCTAAATACAAAACCGTTTTAAGCATCATGTCTGTACCTCTGTACCCCAAAAGTATGAATGCTCCAGCACTTCAAATTTTTGGACTAGGAATTCTTAAGAAGAAAAGATGGTGATGAGGATGATGAGGAGGAGAAGTAAAATGAGGCAAGGAGATGGTCAGAGCACTGCAGAGCATGAAAGGTGTGGAAGCAGAGAGGCACACATTTCTCTCGGAACATGGCCATGGCAGTGTCGCATGGCAGCAGAGAGGCACACATTTCTCTCAGAACATGGCCATGGCAATGTCACTACTCACAGTTACTCCCAGGAGCAGGGTGACAGCACAAACCAATGTGAAAGAGAAAACCAGGGCAGGGCCAGGTGAGCAGCAAGACACGAACAGACCACAGTGAATGCTATGAAATAAGTGCTCATCAGATGTCCATGAGGCCCAGGGGGTTTAAGAAGGATCTTTAGAGAAGAAGGAGATGGCTGCTTTAGTTTTGTGTGATTGACATGGAACACTGCTGCTGATTCCTTGAATTAGCTCACGTTTTTTTTTTTGTTTTTTTTTTCTATAATAAGCACCCAAAGTAATCAATTCATAAAGAAAAGTTTATATCAACTCTATGTTTGTTTCGTTTGTTTTGAGATCTGGTTGGATGACCCTGTTGCTTTTGGACCTGTGACATGATGTGACCTATCACGGGCAGAGTACCTAGGGACATTTCTGCCCACAGCATCATGACCAGGAAGAAAAGTGAGCAAGAGGGGCCAGGGTTTTTGACCCTTCCCACAACAATATGCCCAGTGACCGAACTTCCTTCCACTAAGTCCTACACCTTAATGCTTCCACCAACTCCCAGTGGCATCATGGACTGGAGACCAACTCCTCAACACATAGACATTTGGAGAATATTCAAGGTCTAAATGGCAGCATGCCTGGTCTGTAGTGGATTTATTCTGTAATGTATTGGAAGCTGGTAAAAGTGTGGCCACAGTTGGCATTTTATGCAGCGTCTGGGCGGGTGGTTCCATGTTAGTTAGAACTAGAAAGAAAGGGAAGACAGAACGTCCTGGTAGGAAGGTGAACACAAGGACACAGAGAGACTGCCTGTCTTTGACTTTCCTGTGCCCAGCAATGGAGATTCTTGACTTTTTCTTTTCTTTCTTAATCAGTAGAGAGACATGGAAATTGTGGTTTGTTGGCAATATTGTAATTGTGGCTTACTGTACATCTGTGGAGAGTGAAAATTTCCTGCAGGTCTAATGACACAAAAGCCCAATGAAAGGCAGAGGACTTGGCACAAGGCTCATCTTGTGATTCAGCCTCTTGATGCCTACCAGCTTAAACTACATTGTGGCTGAGGAGGGAGTCTAGCAGTATTGTATTGTGCATTTTCCTGTTTCATGAATTCTCAAAGGAAAGAAGTTGCAGATAGAAACACATTTAGAGACTCATCCTTGGTATTTAAATAGCTGAACAGGAAGTCATAGTAGTGTTTAAGACATGATGTGCAGACATGACAAATCACTGATAAAAAGTTAAGTTGAAGAAATAGCAATGTGTGGGAGTGCCCTTCTGCTCTCATGACATAAAACGGTCCAAGAAAGAAATTGTGATCAGTAGCCTTGAAAGATGGGCCTCAGAGAGCTCTGCTTCCTGACACTCATGTCCCTTGTGTGTGTTGGGGTGGGTAGACAAAGTGACATGTTTTTAATAGAAACACAAGGTACTCAGAGAGGGTGTCACTTCTGAATCTACATTATAGAAGTCCGATTTTCTTAATTTGGGTTTTTTCTTATGAGACAAGGATTCACTGTGTAGTTCAGCCTAGCCTGAAACTCACTTTGTAACTCAGGCTATCCTGGAACTTGCATTGTAGCCCAGATAGCCTGGAACTCACTTTGTAATGCAGGTTGCTTCAAATTTGTGATTCTCCTGCCTTGGCTTTCCAAGTGTTGAGATTACAGGTTTGTGCCACCATACCAGGTTAAGACTGTGACTACTAAAGTCTGTGACTGCTATCTTTCTAGACTGTAGTCTCTCTTGCCCCTCACTCTCTTTCTTGCCTTCTTCATTTGCTCACTGTAATGAGGTCTCTTACCATACTGGAAAATATTATGTGGCAAGGAGCACACTGTGGGTCCAGCAAATAGCCAGGTGAGATCTGGGGTCCTCATTCCAAAAGCCCATAAGGAAGCAGACTCTCGAACAGCCCGGTGAGTGAGTAAAGAAACAGACCTTTCTCGGTCACGTGTTACAGTAACTCCGGCTGTAAGCAGCAGCCTGTGAGACCTGAGCCCGAGGATCCAGCGGCCTCATACTCTTTCCGCATCCATGAACTTGTGGGGTAACTGACAGATGCTGTGCCATGTTAGGGAGTGACGCCCGTGGAAGCCAGCTAATGTCAGCAGAGCAGTCCTCTGGTACAGCTTCACATAGTTAATCTTACTTAGTTCCTCATTGTATTTCTGAGAAAACCCCCTATGTAAGAACACCGAAGGCTTGAAAATTTCCTACCCAGGGAGTAGAAGTCAGTTTAGCCCCAGATCTGCACACAGCCAAAAGATGTTCACTCCCAGTAAAGACTAGGTAATGCATATGCTGAGGTTAAAAACTTCATTAAAAGACATGTTATGTTAAAAATAAAAGACAAAGAAAAAAAGACAGCTGATGAATTTTTATGTGTTTCAGTATTGGTGTAAGGCATCATGGGCACAGAGAGATGAATAAATAATAATAGTAACAACTACTAAGTACTAAGACCTTGTACCTACCACCCACCTTTGTGAAACAGTAGCTTTCCCTCCACATTTGTTTCACATATTTTGTTGCATTTTTAACTTTAATGGATTTTTAATGAAATTATAATTACACCACTTTACCTCTTTTCTTTTCTCTCTCCAGTCTCTCCCAAGTCCCCTTGCTTCAACTCCTTTTCCATGAACCAACCCCATTCTCAAATTGATAGCCTTTTCTTCTCCTGGCCAACAGCTAGGCAGGAGAGGATGGGCGGGACTTCCCGGAAGAGATAGGAATCCTGGGAAGAATTTGAGGTCTCACAGGATTTCCCAGTGAGACACAGAGCAAGTCAGATGTACAGTATGGAGGAGAGGTAACAAGTCACCACATGGCAGAATGCAGATTAGTATAAATGGGTTAATTTAAGTTTTAAGAGCTCGTTGGTAACAAGCCTAAGTTAGGGTCAAGCTTTCATGTAAGTCTCCATGTCATTTGGCAGCTGGCAGTGCAGAGAAAGTCTGACTGCCCCCCCCACACACACACATTTTCCATGCAATTCTGAAAGGTTCATTGGCACATAATGCTAGTCTGTGGCTCCCTGGCTTTTCCTCGACAGACCTATGTTGATATATGCATGAGGAAGGGTTGCAAAGAACTTGTTGCATTGAAATATTATCTAAACTTGGCACACTGAACACAAACTCCAATGCTCCAGGGATTTGTAGATATTCTTTCAGAGGAACAATGTTTTTTAAAGCTATTAATATTTTGCCATTGTTGGTAACACACTTTTAATATAGAACGCCAGTGTAATTCCATGGTATTCCTTTCCATGGTAAATGGAAGGTGGCAGGAATGCGTAGAACCAAGCTCATTTGGTCTCTTCTGTTCTGCATGAGATAGATAACCTCTGAAGGGGTCATTTTCCTCATATCTCAAATGAGCCTCACATTTCAAAAGATTCTTTTGAGATTTAATCAACATGTTTTTAGCGTTTGGAAAGTGGTAAATATTTAACCAGTGCTGGTTTTTCTCTTCCCCTTGAAACTCATCTAATAGATCTGTGCAAACTAATGAAAGTCAGGGTTTCCCTCTGCTGTAAGCTTCAGTGAGACTACCTATAGATTATGTGCCTTAAACTGTAGACCCCTCCATCCATAGCAATTTTCTCGAAGCCAGTCAGGGAACATGTTTCAACATTATGTATTTAAATATTAATTTCTATCTTAAGGGGATCCTCTAGCTTGCCAGTCATCACTGGCCCCAGGGTTTCTCTGCAGCAGCTGTTCCCTTCCTTACCCCCCCCCTGCCCAGCAGTGGCCTTTGATGAGCTGCATACATGCCTGAAACTACCTTGATGGATCACAGGATGGATTTTTCTGGTTGGAGAAAGCTCCTGACTCCTCAGATGCCTTTCCATGACATGCACTGTTTCAGACACCTGTAGAAACGATAGCCTGGAGTTATTTATAAGTCAGTATTAATACTGCATCCATACTGAATCTCTTTATCTGTATAAGGCCTCAAATATATCTGATATAAGTTTTCTCCAAAGTCATAGATTATTTACTCTGGCTATTCAATAAAATCCACACTCCAAAAGCAACAATTCTGATACCTTTCATTTACAAACATTAAGAAAGGGTTTTGAGGAAGAAATATGATTGCTAAACCCGTTCTAGTCCTGCCCTTGTCGACTCACAAACTCTTGCCAAGGATTTCTTCTCTTAAAAAGATCACCTCTAGTGATCTAAAGGGATGATACCAATTGGCAAGCTAAGCAATAGTGGAGAGACCACCTAGAATGCCCATTCCTGATAATGAACTTGATGTCCATAACCATCCTGGAGCCTTCATCCAGTGACTGATGGAAGCAGAGGCAAACACCCACAGTTAAATACTGAACAGAGCCCATGGAACCCAGTGACAGAGAGAGAGGAGCAATGAGCAAATTGGCAAAGAACGGGCTGGCAAAACCAGCTGATCCGAACAGGGGAGAGCTCTTGGACCCCAGACCTACAGCTGGGAGGCCAGCATGGGACTGGTCCAGACCCCCGAATGTGAGAGTCAGTGAGGATGCCTGGGCAACCTATGGGGCCCTGAGCAGTGGATCAGTGTTTATCCCTGGCATACAAACAGACATCGTGTGTCCATAACACAAAGAGGGATGCTCTCTCAGCCTGGACTCTTAGGGGAGTGCCTGGACCCTACCCTGAGTGAAATGACAGACTCTAGATATCCCCTATGTGGAAGGAAATGGCGATAGGGTGGGAGGCTGGGGGGATGGTGGGGTACGGAAGGAGGAAAGGGTGAGGGAACTGGGATTGACATGTAAAACAAGCTATTTAAAATGAAAATAATAATAATAATAAAAGATATCTACAGAACATCCCCATGACCAACAACCCTCCTGTCACTAAAGAATCAAAAACCACTGGGAAAGGAAGGGTTCCCCTGAGTTTGGCCACCCCAGGCCTTTCATTTTCCAGGACAATGGGGTGATTGGCTTTAGGTTAGTCAGGGGTTAAAGATGACTAAGATGTGAGATAGTATGCCAACAGGTGTCTGACCACTGGGCCACAAGTAGGAGACAAGAAAAATAAGTCTAAGCTCCATCTCTTATGTCACAATGTCAAGGGGTAATGATTATTCATAATGAGAATGTGGATGACATTTGAAAATTGTCATTCCCAAACAGAGAGCTCAGGATCAGTTACTGAATCAACAAACACATAGAAGACAAGGCCCACCTAGAGCTTTCTCTGACTTAAGCTCAGTCAGTTCTCTAGTGTGCTAGCTAGCTTCCCTGATAGATAAATAGGTAGACTGGGAAGTAGATAGAGGAGTATGTACATAGACAAATAGGTAGACAATAGAGATAGAGACAGAGACAGATAGGTGGACACATGAACTTCTGATAGATTTTATAAAACTATAGAGGAAATATGAATCTTTTACCACATTACCAATGAGCCATTTTAATGGAAAGAGATATGCTTTTCTATCTTACTGACTTTGGTTTGCCTGTGGGAAATCTGCCATTCACAGAGCGTGTAAGTGGCATCAATAATAAAATCATCACTATTCATCTAGACTATATATCTTTCTGGAGGTCAATGCTCTTTTAATTCTATGTCCAAGTCAATGACTCATTCACTTCCTTATTTCCAGGACACAGAGGGCATAGTCCCTACCTGAGAGGAGCTCAATGTTTAGTTCATAGAAGATGGAAACTGGCACAGGTAGCAAATGTAATATTTGTCAGAATCAAGACTCTTAATGATTTTTGATGGACTTGATTTGGAACTGAAGTTAAATGCAGATGTAAAAATGTTGAGAATCCCTGATACTGAACATGAAAATAATGAAGTGTAAGGTTAAAAAAGACTTGACTTGTCTAAAACATCTTTATTTGTTATTTATTATTCCTCTTTTTTTGTATGTGATATACCTTTTCACGTGTACATGTGTGTATGTTTGGGTGCCCTTGGATGCCCATATAGACTCCAGTGGTCAGTGTCAGGTGTCTTTTTCTATCACTGTCCATCTTATCTTCGAATCAATCTTTCACTGAATCTGGAGACACTGGTCAGTTAGATAGTCAGCCAGTGACTCCGGGCCTTCCTATATTGACACCTGTACCCTGTGCTCAGTGCTAGTGGTACAGACACATGCCACGGTGCCTGGGTTTTTATGTGGGTGTTGGAGCTCGGGCACTATGCAGCAAACCTGTTACCCTCTGAGCCATGTCTTTGCTCCCTTGTAGAAAATACCTTGAGTGACATATTCATTTGCTAGTGCTACTATGACAAAACATGACAAACTGACTAGTTTAGACAATGGTTTATGGCCTCACAGCTCTGGAGGTGAGAGGCCAGAGGTCAGAGGCCAGAGCCTGTGACCTCAATGGAGATGGTTGCTTTCGCATGTTAGGAGTCTCTTCCTTAGTTTCTCATGGACTGCTGGAAACATCTAGTGTTCATTGACTAACAGACCCATTTCCATGGTCTCTACTCTCCCTATCCCATGTCATTCCCTAAATTCCTCCATTTTATGAGAATACTACTCACTTTGGGCTAGAGACCATCCCCCAATGACTTTATCCTAACAAAATGCATTTGTGATGTCCTTGTTTATAAGCAAGTTCCAATTCTGAGCTACTGGGAATTAGGCCTTTCAGCATAGGTGGAAGATTGATACAGTTCAACCCTCAACAGGGGCAGTCAAAATTTAAAACACAGCTTAAGTGACACTTATCTTTCAGTCAACATAGAGGAAGCCTAGCATTAGCTCATGCCTATACTTATTAAAATATGGCTTACTGATCCTGGTGGGAGTGATCTCACAACAGTACACATAAAACATGGGGTGATATTGCATGGTGGTCAGAAAAGGAAACCATGAAGACTATGAAAGAAGAGGTGGAGATGGTTTTACTCCAACGGAGGGATGGAGGGGGAGGTAGTGGCTGGGGGTGGGACACATTCGTGGTAGCAAGTATGTCCTTGCCGGTGGAAGTATTATTTGAGTAGGAAAAAATGGGGTTTGAGGCAGGATAACATGGGTATGAAGGACCAAAGCTTTAAAGCCATCTGCCTGGTTAGGAGAGCTCATAGGGACAATGTAGCTATGTGGGCATGTCACACATCTTCTGTTTCTTATCTATAACCGGGATACTTAGAGCACAAACTTCACAGTGGTGCATTGAAGGTTACTTGAAATGGTCAGGTGAGGGTGTAAGGAGGTGTCTGACACATGAAACACTTTATTATTATTATTATCATTATTATTATTATTATAGGAAACAGACACCTGAGGAAATCTAATGGAGGGGAGAGGAGTAAGGTGTGGGAATAGGGCATGATTATTGATGCAAAGAAAGTTGTCCTCTTTTCATTGTGAATGATCCCTGGAGAGTATTTACAAGCCTGGAGAAGGTCTGTTTATATCTTAGGAAAAAACAGGCCTGCAATAAGTCAAGGGCCTTGACTTTTCGCCAATTTCTAGAAGCATGGCAGAGATGACCTCCTAGTGCAGTCCTAATGGAATGAACCTCACAATTCTGATGCTTTTGCTTATAACTTCACGTTCATCAAGTAGACACCTATTAAAACTTTATTTTTAGCAGGCATGGTGACACATGCCTTTAACCCCAGCACTCAGGAGGCAGATATCTGAGTTCAAGGTCAGCCTGGTCTATGAAATGAGTTCAGGTCAGTCAGGGCTACATAGAAAAACCCTGTATAGAAAAACAAAAACAAAAACAAAGAAATACAAATTTCTTTTAAATTGTTAAAAACACAAAATTTAAAGCATTTTTGAGGGTCTGGGTTTCCTAAAATAGTGCAAGGAAGAGCCTGTGTATCATCAGTACGTAGTAGAGACCAGAGTCTCAGGAGTAAGGTATATAGAAACACAGCCAATGATAGAATAATATATTAGGTATAGTTAACCACCCATTCCCACTGTGCACTGAACTCTGAGGGGCCTACGGACCCAGGGATGAAGGTAAAGAACTCCAAGAAGCTGTGTCACTGTATCTCAGAACAGTGGGGAGCAGGGAGAGAAGACAAAGTTATCTGGAGCTCTGCCACGCGTTGGTAACAGATTGGCTCCAGTGGTAGTTCTCCCACACTTTAGGGTTTCACACAGATGGATAACAGGACATGTCTGTTACTCTGGGCCAACAGGATGGCCAAGGTTGTGGAGCAGCAGTTACGTGCAGGAGGAAGGCACTCCCAAGATGTACCTGCGTTAAGTGCAAGCCCATGCTGAGCTAGTTGCTGTAGCCGTAGCTGGGAAATGTCACTGAGGCTGAATGGCAGAAGGTATGAGAGGTTCGGGTGGAAGAGAAGTAAAGCGACAGGTACTGACAAGTCCCCAGACACTCTGCAGGTGCTAGCTATGCAACCGTCACACCAACCGCATGCAACTCAAGGCTCAGAAAGGCTAGCTTGCAGAAAACCACACAGTTAAGAAAAACAGGACTTACTTTAATATGCATGAGACCGTGGGTTCAATTTTCAGTCCCACGATTAAAGAAAACGTTCTTGGACGAGGCATGGTTATGCCCCTGTAATCCGAACACTTAGGAAGTAGGAGCAGGAAGGTCAGGAGTTTAAAGTCATTCTTGGCTACACAGAAAGTTAGGACCCACTCTGGGTTACGTGAGAACTGTGTCCCAGTTTCACTTCTGTTTCTATAATAAAACACCCTGGCAAGGGTTTATCTTAGTTCATAATTCCATGTTATTGTGCTTAATCAGGGTAGGGAAGAGCTTGAAGCAACTTTTTACATTGTATTCATAGTGAAGAGCAGAAAAGACTCAGACATAGATGCTGGCTTGCTTGTGCCCAGGTGAGTTCCTACACTCTTACACGGCTCAGGGCCCCTTTCCTACAGATTGGTGCCACCCACAGTAGACTGGGTCTTCCCATACAAGTTAGTTAATTCAAATACCCCTTCCCCAACATGCCCACAGGCCAACCCAAAGTACAAATTTCTCAATGAGAGTTTTCCTTGATGGTTCTAGGCTGTGTGTGTCATGTTAATAGTCTAAATCATCACCACACCCAAACAAAACAGAACACAACACGGACTGTGGAACCAGGTCTGGATCGATCAGCAGATTCTTCCCCTGTGCTTTCTTGTGGAGCCTTGGAAATCCGGCTCCACTCCTCGATCTTATCTCTGAACTAGTCTCATTTGGCTCGTCGAATAGTACGCCTATTAATGAAGCGACACATTTTGCAGAAGAGGTTTTTGTGAAGTGGGCAAGTATAAAGAGATAGGAGATGCAAATATCCAAACCTGGAGAAATGTTGTGAGGTAAAGAGGCAAGTTGTCTCTTGTAAGAAACTGCGCCAGCCTATCCAAACTGCAATCATCCTGTCCCCCGACCCCCAGGTCATCTCCAATGCGTGCACATGCGCGGCAGGCACTTCCTCCCCGAGTCAAGCTGCTAAGCCTGCCTCAATGCCCAGAGACTGAAGAGACCCCTGACCCAGAGACACCAATGAGGAAGTGGCAACGCAACAGAGTCAGCCAGCTGAGCCAATAGGACCTTAGGAGGGTGTATAAAGGCAGGTCTAACTTCATGAAAAAAATGAGACTGCAGCAAGCTCTGCTACTCACCGACTCCCAGTGCCTGAGACCTTGGTGCTGCATCTTCTCACCCCCTCCCGCAAGGGGTGTCCGAGCAGGGTCACCCACCACAGTCTCTGACATGGGGAGAGGGGGCTGAAAGCTGACTCTCTGTGGTCTGTACATGCACCCAGACTCTATGGCTCTTTGTAAATCACATGTTCAGAGCTTGGTGGCATTAGCTTGAGAGTGGTGTTCCGAGTCCACTGATCTCTAAAGGCAATCTTGCACAGGCTGGAGTGAAATGTGGGTGGTTTCTACAAAAGGAGACCTCAAATCCTTGAAAAGTAACGGAGGCAACTCTGACTCCCACATGTCACAATCACCATTGACAGCCAAGGGAGTGGCTCGGTGGCACGACCTCCTAAACTGGTGATGTTTAAGGAAATTAAAAGCAAGGGAAGCTAGATGGTTTATTCAATTTTCTCATCAGTTTGAGTATTCTTGTGAATGTATTTCAATTAAGTCATCAATCCTCAGTCCCTGGGTAATTTGAGTTTCTATTGGCAAAGCTGACGACTGCAATCTGGAACAGAGTGACAGTGAAACAAAACTCCAGCATGGTTCCTCAGTGGTATCTCTGCCCTGTCTCTCTTGGTCAGCCTGAGGACTTTTGCGAGGCTGTCAGAAGGTCTGTTTTGAGTTTTCCTTAAGGGTGTAGGTTACAGGGTTCAAATTTAAGCTCTGTATAAGGTTTCGAAACCTACCTAAGGAGGTGAAAGCCACAGGTGTCAAAGGCTCTGGGTAGATCCTTCGTGACCAAAACATCTCACTGAGTCGTAACTCTATATGCAGTTAATCATGACAGGGAAATGATATTCTTTTCACTAGCAGTGGAGACGACCTCACTCCATCTATACATCTCCCCTCCTTTCCCATATCCCCATCTTTTTCTTTTCCCCACCCACTCTTTCCTCTCCTTCCTTCCATTATTCCCTTCATGCTTTGCTCATCTTTCCTGTCTTCTGCAAACTTCTGCATGTCTGTACTCTCACTCCTCACTGGTTATCATTTTCAGTGATGAGCAACAGACCCAAACTCTAGACATTTGAAGCAAAACAGGGTTTGGGGGAAGATACCAGAAAAAGAATAAGAAATTGGATTTAAAGTAAACCACTTAGAAGCAGGGCATCATAACACATTGACTCGCCAGGATGAGTTAAATGAATAAAGCCCGCATACTTTCTTCTTTGTCCATTCATCATCTAAAAATGTCCCAGGAAAACACAACCAGGTGGCCAACTCCAGTGGCATGTGCCAGGTCAGTGAAAAGCAGCAGCCCGAAGAGAGGCTTTGCAGGGATACCTCAGCCTCTGTGGTGAGAAGGCGGGGCATTGGTACAGAGGGAGTGGGGGGATATTTATGAAAAGATAAATAAGTGGCCAGGATGTTTTAAAATAATTGTTCTGTGTGTGTGTTTAAAGCTACTTGCCGTTTTTCCCCACTTAGGCTATAGGTGGAAGGCAATAACATGACTCTCCTGATCCAGTTGCTCCTGCTGTGGCAATGTGATAAACATCCTTCCAATATCAATACATTATATCCAGTAGCATATTGCTATCTACCATATATTTGCATATGTTATCCCATTGCTTGTAAATTTACCCCACATTATAGGATGGGTTGTGTTTTCCATTTGAAAGTTCATGTTATTAAATTTCAAACTCCCAAGACCAGCATGTGACTCTCTTTGGAGCTGGAGCTTTCAAAGAGGTTATCAAGCTGCAATGAAGCTGCTATGGTTGGCTTCTAATCCTTTCTGATTTGTGTTCTCTCATGAAGTAGAAATTGGGGCATAGAGATTATCATGGATGGGTAAATAGATGGAAGGACATTTGGGGACACACAAAGAAGGTGGCCATTTTCAAGCCAAGGACAGAAGCATCAGAATGAACCCAACCTTCCATGGCCCACTTCTGGGTTTCTAAGATCAAAAATCACCAGAAAAAATCAAATTGTGTTGTTCAAGTTACCCAGCTTACAGAATTTTGTTAAGGCAGCCGAGAGAACTTGGTTCACTTACCTAAGAGAATCAAGAATTGAGGAGACCCTGACATTTGCCCAAGTCCTGCAGTTGAAAAACAGCAGAGAAGCCGATTCTGTGGTTCCAGTTCAGCTGTCTCTCACATTCTCTATCCTGATTCTTACCTTCCATTATTAATGTCTTTCCTCCCCTTCAGAACATTGAGTACTGGCAAAATTAAGCAGTCCTTGAACACTGTGACTGCTGTTGACCATCACGAGAAACGCTGATGCTCTCATCACTTTCAGATATGGCATCTCTTCTCATGGGTGCAATATGGATCCCTAAATAATTTCTGCACATCACTGATTTTCAACAGGTAATGTTATGTCAATAGTGATTAGCCATTTCCTGAAAAAGTCATAGTAAATGTGATGATGTTTTTGTTAAGATTACATGTAACAAATAGTGATGTTATTCTTACAGGGGTTCCAAACCAGAACAAAGGTACCATGCTTGCAGCCCTAGTCACACTGTATTTAGTTACCTGACATTATCAGGTGAACCTCTTGCACTAATCCAAATTGTACATTTTAAAAATGGGGTATGGCATGTGCATTTTATTTACACATCAGTAAGTTTTCTAGTAGGACCTGTGATATATGAGACAATATATCAAATCTCTACATGTTCCACCACTCTTTATATGTGTATCTTTGACTTTGACAACTGTTGCAACAAATTATTTCTAACAAGAATTAATACCTCAAATACATCAAGAATAAATGTACACTTAATTCATTTCTGAAAGCTTAAATTTCATAGCATGGAGGTGATCCAGATAGTTTGTCCCTTGCCACTCAAACACTTATGCACAGGCACACACACACACACACACACACACACACACACACACACACGCACACACGCACACACGCACACACAAGCATGTATACTCTTGAAATAGCTGTGTGTTCCTGGGCTTGGAGGCTTCATGTCATATTAAAGATGACTTTCTTAGGACTATACACCCAGGAAAGGTCAAATTTAGAGCAAAATATTTTAGAATGTGTTGAAAATTCTTAGCTAATGCATAATTGTTTCTTCCAAACTTATGATTATGCCTAACACTTTTCAACCAATAAGAAATGTTCTGATATTGTAGAAGATGGAATGTCCCAACATGTAGAGGTTTGAAAGAGCAAAGAAAATGGGAAGCTGATGAAATATGTCGTAACAACAGACCATGATCTAACAGTAAGAATTGTGTTCATGTCAATTCAATAAAATCATTTCCATTGTCTCCATTTGTACCTTCTGCATGAGTAATACTCATAATACAATCAGTATATTTTAACAGAAAGTTTTGTTTTTTGAGTGTGTCTGTGGTGGGTGGGGTGGGTGGGTATGAGCATCCCACAGCGCTTGTGTGTGTGGAGGGCAAGGCAACCATGATGTCAGTCTTCCACTTCACCTTGTTCGAGACAGGGTCTCTTTGTTCTCTGCTTTGTGTGACAGACTTCACAGAGTCTTCTCTTACTGCTCCCTATCTCACTGGGTCTCAGATGTGCACCACCATGTCCAACTTTATATATGTTCTGGAAATGTAAATTCTGGTCTTTACACATTACCCACTAAACAACCTCACCAGCTCAAGGAGAAAATTACGATGACTTTCATGGATTATAACATTAAAGCCAAAGAGATCATTGACTTGGGAGTTTTACCTAGCTGCATGTTGGGCAAATGCTAAGGCAAATGCTGAAAAAGCATAGATCTTTCTAAACCTTTAACATGACCAGACTTCTGGTGTTTAAAAAATCAAGTCATTGATGGGAGTCTTCCTTTAAAATGTGTGTGTGCACCTGCATTTGTGTCTACCTGTGCATGCATGTATGAATGCTTGTATGCCATTTGTTCCTTTGAAAATGGGAACACACAATGACAAATTATGTATGCCTTTTTGATTTTCTGTTAATGGATATAATCCCATAATGTAATTTTAATTGTTGGGTAGGTAGTGTCCTCTAGTATGAAGTACTTTATTTAACTATGTTCCTATTTCTGGGATCCTATGACGTGTCAAGACTGAAAGAATATTGCTGTAGTGAATAGCTTCACACCTAAATCTTTGTGTTTATCCCTTGGAAATAGATTGTTAATGGAAATACGAGAAAAATATGTATGTACAAGTCTGAATCTTTGATTTCTGTTGCCACAGTGTCATATCAGAGGAAAGATGGCTCAGCAGTTAAGAAGATGTTCTGTTCCTGTGTAGGATCAGAGTTCAGTTTCTAGCGCCATGCCAGGCAGCTTGCAACTGCCTGTAGCTCCATCTCCCCGGGGCATCAAACTATGTCTCTGGTTTTATGTGAACAATTTCTACACCCTTACACACATGCATGTAATTAAAAATCTGCCCCTATACACATATGTTATACTGAAAGTTATTCTCCACTGTACTATGTGTCAGAATGCTAGGAGAAAGAATTTTGAATGATTGTACCATAAAAAATTGATAGCTGCTTGAGCAGGTAGCAATGGATAACTGATTTAAACATTTCTCTCTGTCTCTGTCTCTGTCTCTCTCTCACACACACACACACACACACACACGTGTGTGTATCACATTTTCATGTGATATGATTCACCATTGTGTATAAGTTTTGTTTTGTGTGTTATTTAAAAGATTAATAAATAGTAAAAACATTCATTTAGATGATTTTGATCAAACTACATATTTTTACATTTAGACAGTAATGATCCTGCCAGTTCCATTACCACAATATATACTGATACAGAAAGACATACCTACAGAGACAGAGACACACAACACACATACACAACACAACACACACACATACACACACACAAGCACATGCATTCTTGTGTGGGGAACAAGAGGTTGAGAGATGTTTTAACAGGACAGGCTACACTGGACCAATGGCATCCATAAACTACAATGCAGTGGTACTGAACATAGATTTGGTATGATGTGTTTTCACACACCCCAGGACACAATAGTGAGTGACAGAGAGTGGAAATCATTAACAATGGGGCAAAAGGAGTATTGTAATAACCTCTGAGTATCCGAACGCTCCAGAGTCTGGCTGGTTTTGTTTCTACCTGATGCCTATCACCTACCAGTGAGGCCTCCATTTCTTTCTGTCTGTCTATCTGTTCATCTGTCCATCTGTCCACCTGTCTGTCCGTCCATCCGTCTCTGTCTGTGTGTGTATGTACATGCATGCATGCACACAGGGGAACATATGTACGTGCCTATGAAGGTACATTTAGAGAAACCAGGACTTGGACAGCATTGCTGATAGCAACAGTTGTAGAAAAGAGGCCAAGAGGTTCTAGAACCTGGGGATGGTTGGAAAGAGGTTGACAATCAGGAGTCTAGGATGGAGGTGAGAAGAGGCTCCAGGGGCTCTTCTGCATGCCTATGCTTCTGCGTTCCTTTCATTAAATGGTACTGGTGAGCTGTGAATGAAAGTAATATTTATCTATCCTGTGGCTTTTGAAATACCCAAGCATAAGACCTCCGGTCTCTCTCTTGCCCCATGGTCTTGATATGGGAAGCAAGAACTGAGACATGAGGGTCCTCAAACACTTCCTGGAGCAGAACTCTGCTTACCTGTTGGCCATATAGAATTGTAGGAGTAAGAAATGAACTGCTACTGAGATCTGAGGATTGACATTTTATAACTTACTCTAGTTTCATTAATACTAAGGGTCACAAACAGTAAAGGGAGGAAGATTGATTTGTAAACAATCACCTAGAAAGTCTTGCTGATTGTGGAACCTTCCATTTTATTATGTATTTGGGAAGCCATGCACAGGACAGCTAGAAGCAGGGATGCTTTGGGGAGATTTCCTTCCTCACATGGCAGCCCTGGTCAAGCCTCTCTATGACCCTCTAAGATTGGTTTTGATGCACTGACCTGAACATAAAGAACATCTGTAGCTGGTTAGTGTTTGGACAGTTTAGAGTAGGAGGTGATTCAAGTCATATCCAGTAAGCCTGAGATCCTCAGCTTCTCAGCACAGAATATCACCAAGTGATCACAAACAGACATGGAGATGGTACCAGAATGAACTCTGTGTCATTAAGGCCACTGAGGTACAAAACAGTGAAAAAGTTAGTCCCTACCATCTTTTAAGGAAAGGACATTGTTAGAGGCTTTTGTAGAAGTTTTACTTTTTGTTCCTAAGTGAAATACCCTGGGGATTTCAAACAGCAGGAAGCTCAGTGGAAAGTTTGCAATTAACCAATTAATATGATGGAATGCAAAGCAAAAACTCACAAAATGGGCCAAGAGAATGATCACCCTGGGCCCGAGTGAAGAGAACTGGCTGTTTATATCTATCAGGTTAGCAACATGAATGCCAAACTCTGCCTTTAATCATGCTGTGTGGGCAGGTGGACAGGTCTGCTCCATCCGGGAACAGGATTTTAATGATGTGTGTTTTTTAATGAACGGCCGGCCACATGCTGCCTTGGAAACTTTACTAAGTCAAGTCCACTAATATCAGCTTAGTTCTCCCATTTCAATTTGGAACACTCAGGCCTTCTTGACACAACCTACAAATACCTACAGCCGCCCTTGTTGACAAACTGTTGTGTTACACTCTGTTAGAGAACCTCGGTAAATTTAGGAGCTGAGGAAATACAACTCAGAACTTCTGAACCCCAAAGAAGTCTTTCCTAGTTCTAGGGCTTATAACCTGTGTTGCTTTGCTTGCTGCTGTGACGAAATATCTGACAAATGTTGTTGAATTTAGCCAGGGTACAGCTCACTGTGGTGGGGGAAGTCATGGCACTAGGACCTTGACTCAGCTGACTACACTGTATCTACAGTTTAAAAAGGAGAAAGAGATGACTGTTAATGTGTTGTTTACTTTCTCCTTTTTATTCAGTCTAGGACTCCAGGTCACAGAAGAGTGCCACCCACACAAGCTGGGTCTTCAGTTAACCTAAACCTAGTACTCCCTCTTAGACATGCAAGAAGATTTATGCCTTACCCTAGATCCTGTCAAGTTGATCATCATCTTTATTAACTACCGACTGCCTTCTGCTTTTGGTATATCTCCTCACTACTGCAGCTAACAAAGTTTCTAGGGGCAAAATGTCCACCTTATCAATGCCTCTGCTTATCAACGCATTGTACCAGTACAATAGATGTAATGGCACATTTTGTGGTGACCTGACATTATTCTGGATGTTTCTGGGTTGGTGGATCAAGAAAAGCAGAGTGTTCTCCCCAGTGCAAAGAGGTCTAGCCTAATCCTTTGAAGGCCTGATTGGCACAAAGAGGCACAGCCTCAACAACGGTAAGCTGGTCTCTTTCCCATATTGCCTGGAAGAGGGGTACCAATCCTTCTTTGGGTACCAGCACTAGCTAAGATCCCAGACCCTGATGCCACTCAGTCTTGAAGTGGAACTTATGCTTTTCCAGGGAATAAAGCAGGCTTCAGATGGCAACTCCAGGCTTCTCTCAGGTGACCATCTTTCTGACAGCAGGTTTTGAGACTTGCCAGCCACCATAAAGGCATGAGTCCATTCATCTGGATTAATTATGTCTCTTCATGTATCTACCAGTTTCTAGGATGAAGTCTGAAAAATAACAGAAGTGGCATCATGTTGCACAGAGGGCCATAATATTCTTTGCTGACTAGCAAACAGGGCATCTGAAATTCAAAATACATTGTTGGGTGTTTGGGCTGGTGCCATATTGGACACTGGGTTTGCTCCAGAATTCCTCTATATCTTTTACTGAATGTTCTTCATTTCCAGGGAATGTTTGGTGTTTTCCCGCTGCTACTAAACTCCATGGCTAAAGATCTGGGACACCTGGTGCCTTCTGTGCACACGCCATGCAATACCAATCCCTTTGGAACAGGTGTGAACTGGTCCTTGCTCAGCTAGGTTTTTGAATTTTTAACAATTAAAAGTTATCTTGCTGATTGGTGTTGCATTTGACTTACAATGAGCAATCTTAGACTGAAGGATTTGATTTTTCCTAAATCTTGTGCAGGAAGACATCTTTGGGGCTTCTTGAGGATCTGTCACTTTAGTAGACTAAGGGAGGCATGGGGATCCTTCTTGAAGCATTTGGATTCTGGTGGGGATGTCCCATGTATTAATATTCAGGAGAGCCTCTTTTTCATCAGGACAAACCGTGGGTCTGCTCACTAAAGAGCAGTAACAGGGATGGTCCCTGTAGGTGCCAGCACAGAGTGCTGGAAAAGATCACACAAGGTTGAATCACATCCTACCACATGGTCACATAGCTGTGGAAGGTCCCTGGCCTTAGATGGTCAAAGCCAAGTCTCAAGACTTCAGTCTAGACAGTTTGACCAAAAGAAAATCTGGCCTCTGTGTGTAGCAAGGGGCTTTCCTGCATGTGTGGCTCATGGTATCCATCCCAGCAACCCTCAGGTTATATTGTGTCCCTCATCATTGATCCTCATAATTTTCTCTGTGTTTGTAGTCTACCTAGAAAGAAAGAAATGTGAGTAAAACACAGACTTGTGACTGAAAAGCCTCAAGGTACTGCTGGCCTAGAAAAGAGACCTCTAAGTCCCCAGCAAACCTCTGGGGTGGCTCTGGGATGTTCTCTTTAGATTAGGTTCCAATTACATTTAGTGAGATACCTCCGAAAACATCACTTTTTGGAGTGGATGTAAAGTTGCTTTCAGGCTCTTGAGAAAAGAACAGAAAGAAAAACATCTCTTACAAAGATACTTAATGCTAAATGTCTATATTGTTTTTCGATCCTTCCCAGGCCCTGTGAAAGAGACAAGATGCAGCAGAGTCACCGGCCTGACACTTAAGCAGGAAAGTATTACAGAGGTACCCCCTGGAGGCAACACCGTTTTCACAGTGCTTCAATTATTTTTGGTGATGCCAGGAGTCAGAAGGCTTATTTAATCTCGGAGATGAACTTTGTAAACAAAAGCTCAGCTTCACTTTCCACTTTCTGCTTCTGGCCCCTTGTCCATCGCACCCAGGACGCAGGGCTCACACAGGTGACCTCCATTGCTCCAATCGGATGAAGAAACACGGGAGTCTTAGCTAGGAGGTGAGTCACCTCCTAGGCTCTTCTAAAGTACAGCCCATATTCCCTAGCCAAATAATGTCCTTAGAGCAGGCCCTTCTGTGTCTGTGGAGGACCTCCTAGTGAAATTTTATATGACTATTTCCCACAAGATCAAGGTGACACGCCCAGAAGGCTGTGTCCAGTGTTTGCTAGCTGACGAACTTATGTTCCCAGAGGCTAAGTTGAACCTCTGAATTCATTTGTGTTCTAAGCAAACTTCTGCATGTATTAGGGTCCTGGCATGGGATATGCTTATTGTTCCTTCCATTGACAGGCATTTCCACAAAGGGCACTGAGACCACAAGCTTCAGACAAAGCAGCAACAAATAGAACTTTTGTTACTTGAAACAATCTAGGCCGTGGTGTTCCTGAGGAGAGTTTTGGGGGTATCAGTGACTTCCTATGCTCTTTAGAAAGGTGACAGCACCCCAGATGTCCTCATTGCACTTAAGGTTGATATTCAGAGCAGACTTGAGAGCATCCTCCATTATGATTTCATGCACAGCTATCTCTGTGACCAGTGTGAAATGAGAATTGGTGACAGGGGCTTATTTTAAATGTCCTTGCCAGTCAGCACAGAGCAGGGACCATGGGAGACTTGTAGCTTTTCTTTGCTTGTAAAATGTGGCTAATAAATATGTAAATCACACTATCTTTATTCATAGCCTGGCAAGGATCAGACATGAAAATAACAACCAAAACCCACTATTTTATCTATAATATTACGTTGAGTTAATATCTCATAACCTCAAACACTGAGAAAACAGCATGAAAAAAACACATTATTTTCCTAGTCAACTTCTTGGTGAGCAATATTTAACAGGCCTGTCAGTTCCCTGTGTGCACAGGCTTGGAACCTGAAATTGTACAGATACACGTATATGTCTGTATGTCTCCCTTCCCTTGGCTGCCTTGTACTTTCAGCTGAGCATACATTACCTCGTTCTTTAAAGGCACAAGCTCATGTTGTTTCACTCTGATGATCACCCTGCTGACAGATGCTGCTCCTTCAGCCGTGGCCCCATCCTTCTTACTATTATTAGGACACTCAGAAGTGTCAGCAAAAAGTCCCTAGTGCTTTTATTTTTTTCTCAGACTCCAGGACCCCCGAGGTGGTGGGACACACCATGCCCCTGCCTGGGACAAAGCTTTCACTCTTGTTCCATCCATCCTCACTCCCAGCCTGCTGGTATCATTCCCCACTCCCATCCTTATGCCAACTCTGGGGACTCATTCACACCGCTAGCGGGGCTGAGAAATGACCTTCCGGTTTTCTTGGGAAGTGTGTTTTGCCCTGGGTCATCCAATTATCCTCACCTGCAAGAGTAGTTACTTCAGGACCATGGGCTTTTGGAGTTGAAGGACCTCTGAGGTTACCAGTCTGAGTCTCCACTTGGATCTCCTGAGACAAAAGCTCCCGGAAGATGGAGATGGATTCTTGCCCCTCTGTCATTTCTTCAGTTTTGTCACTCAACCTCAGCCAGTTCCCTTTCTTCTGAGCCTTGTAGTTCTTATCCACACAACCGAGCTGATGATATACACTTACAGATGAAAGTCCCTGGGGTGAGTGTTAGCATGGGGAGGGGCATAGAAGAGAGACGCTCATTAGGTGAGCTTTTCAATCCTTGTTGTCCTGTCCAATTGAGTTTACAAAATTCTACTCTAGCCATTGGGTCACATGAGTGAGATGCTCCTCCCTAAAATAATAAGCATCTGTCTAGTGGTTCATAAAGCAACTGGCCTTTCCCTGTGTATTGTCTCATTTTGTTCTTGCAAGGGGAGCTGGATGAACCACCTACATTTTATATGTGAGCATGCTCATTCTCTACGAGGTCGACCTCGTTTCAAGACTTTTTTTTTTACGAGACAGGGTTTCTCTGTATTGTTTTTGAGGCTGTCGGTCCAGCCTAGCCTCGAACTCACAGAGATCCGCCTGCCTCTGCCTCCCGAGTGCTGGGATTAAAGGCGTGCGCCACCACCGCCTGGCTGTTCGTTTCAAGACTCTTATATCATTGGCTTATTCTGCTCCTGCTCTCTGACTTACTTCTTCCATGGTCCTTTTCTAACTTGTATAATTATGCTTGGTTATTTATTGTCTATCTTGGATAGAACCTGAGCCTCACTGGGACATCCTCCCACCTGCCCCCTGTCTTTAAGTTCCACTCTCCCAGATATTAAAGCTGTGATATTGATTAGCATTTGAATCAATCAAGATAGGAGAGGAGAAAGGAGAAAGGGGGAAGGGCAGCAGGAGAAAGAACTAGGAAGTGATCAAAAGAGGGAGAGAATGGATGGGAATCAGACAAAAAGAGGCAAAAGAAGAAAGTGAGTATTTGCTAAAGGAAGAAGCCCCACAAGGCTCTTACTTTCCATGTATAAGGTAGGCATCATGATTCCCATGGCAAGACTGTCAGGGACTCTGAGGCTTAATTCCTGACTTAGAAGATGAGCTCTCTGGCTGATCATGACGGTCAACTTGATTGGATTTAAATTTGCCATGGAAACACACTTTGGAGTACATTTGTGAGTCTGCTTCCAGGAAGGTTTAACTGAGGAGAGAAGACCCACCCCTCCTCCACCACCCCAGTCCCCCTCCTCCCCCCAGCAAATGTGCGTGGGACTGTCTCATTGGCTGGGGTCCAGGACTGAATAAGCAAAAGAAAGTGAGCTGCACCCCTGGATTCATCTTTCTCTGGCTCCTGCCTGTGCATGAAGTGTGACCAGCCATCTCATGCTGTTCCACCATGCCTTCCATGCCGGGACAGATAGTCTCTCTACAAATCAGGTGCCAAAATGAACTCATTTTTCCCCTTAAATTTCCTTAGGCATTTTTCCATAACAACAAGAAAAGTAATGAATACAATGGACCATGAAGTGTCTGCCACCCAGTTACGTCATAGATGTGGGGAACAATACAGCTGAGGACATCACTCCATTGTTTCCTCCCCAGACTCCTATTTAGTTGAAGATTCAGCTCCACAGGGATAGGAGAGGTGACATGATTTTTTAAGTGTGCAAATCCAAGATCACATCCCATGCATTAAGGCAGTGCCCAGGACTGATTCCAGAGAACAGTACCATCAGCCACCAGTGGGGATATAAAGCAGTGATCTTGGGGTGTTTCTATGCCTCCGAATGCTTTGAGAAAGAAAAGAGACTGGGAGGTTTGGCCAATCAGAAGGTGGAGTTACCTTCCGGAGTTACACTAGAGTTTCAGAAAAGGAGTCGAGACTAGACTGTAAGTCTTTTGGAGTCTTTATAGGCTGCTTTCAGGAAATCAGAGTTCATGGCTCTATGCCCCAAAGTCCAGAGTCAGTTCCCAGAGAAGTTTAGTTAGGCTAGTCTATGGAGCCTTCTTGAGCTGTACTCAGTATGGAATAGTTCCTGTTTTCTTTGAGTCAGCAGATGAAAGAGAAAGGGATCTCCCCTATTTATCATAGCTTGGCATAGGAGAACACTTTTCTGTTGCTCAAGAAGAAAGTTCCAGTATACTATGTCGTGCCAAAAAATGGCATGCCTTTTGACTTCATTGGCTTTTTCTTTCCTTGCATAGTCATTTCCCACTATTGACCATGGCTATGTTTTATAAAGTCCCCAGGAGCACTGAATTAATGCCTACTGAGCTGTTGTTTCTTATGGAAGTTCAGGATTAGCTTCTGAGTCCCTGGTCATATATTCACCCATTCAGTAAATCAAAGCCTTGTTTTATGTGCTCTAAATAATATATATGTACATGTACATATATATGTATATATATATGTGTGTGTGTGTGTGCTAATTAACATATATGTTGGTTAACTAACATAGCATTTTTATCCCACAGCACTGTATATACCTCATGCCTGAATGGAGCTATGTATTTTTTCCATGGGGCATATTCTAGCTATCTTGCACTTAGTAATACTGGACAGCAAGCACTCTGTGCTTAGGGGACCAATGTAAATAGCAAAGCCAGAAACCAAAAACATAAAATCAACACCAATGAACCATGTTTGTGAAAAGACTGCAGAAAGGGAAACTATTTACACTATGAGAGCTTGCCAACAGGGCAGCTCATTACTTTCACTTTTAACTGTGTATGGGAACAAGGAGTGTTGAAATCTCATCACTCTGTGAATGTTCAGAGGAACCAAGAGAGTGCCATGAGCATCAATGTTGGGGTTAAAATTGAATCTTAGTGTGTGTATGAATCCACAAACTCATAACTGGGAACAAAGGACCCTTGCTCTCAGTGGCTGGTTGGTGGTGCTGTGAGGTTTTGTGGAGAAAGAGATCAATGAGCCAATGACCTTTAGCAATATCTATCAACCCTGCACTTACCTTGACTTACTTTGAAATTTGTCATGTAGCTGGTAGTGGATAGCGGTTATCTGAATATCATCTAGGGCAAAAGTTGGTTTTTTTTCTTTCAAAGTTCTTCTAGGAAGTGGTGAAGACTTGCAAGCTATATGTAACCAGATACAATTTCACGTGAATGTATGTGACTGAATTCCAAAAGAGAACTATTTTCAAAAGCCAGAGGGCCCTGAGTTGTCCTGGGAATTGTAATGGGCTGACCTGTAATATAGGCTTCCATTTGTGTACATAAAAGATTGCCTCCTACCTGTGTCTCAGATGTGTCTACAAAATACCAGGCAAGATAGTCTTTAAAGAAACTTTGGGCCGGGCGTCGGTGGCACATGCCTTCAATCCCAGCACTCGAGAGACAGAGGCAGGCGGATCTCTGTGAGTTGGAGGCCAGCCTGGTCTACAGAGTGAGTTCCAGGACAGCCTCCAAAACAATACTGAGAAACCTTGTCTCGAGAAAAAAACAAAAAGAAACTTTGGTAGGTAAAGTAGTAAAGCAAACTGCAGTGTATTATACTCCAATTATCCTGCTTTCCACACAGTACCCTGGAAGCCCAGTTGTGGCATTATGAGAGGAAAGATAAATAAGTGGACGTTATCACCATCACCGTCCTTATCTTACCACCACTGCCATT